CGCTGTCCCCACAGCGCCCATTTGCGGGAGTCTTAGAGAAGATAGCTGGGCTGGATGAAGAGTTCCTGGCCATAGTGGTACGTCCCAGCGCGGGCCTTGTAGTCTTCTCGTTTCCTGACCGTGTTGTCTGCAGAACTCGGTTGACACTGACGACAGTGGCCTCAATGATGAGGGATTCAGCGTTATTCGAGCTCCCGAGCCCCGCGCCTCGTATAGCCTCGCCGCTGCTCACCGACAACGACCTGCCTCTCCACACATAGCCCACGACAGCTAGACGAGAACTGGGAGACGGTGGAGTCGAGAGTGGGGATTCAAAGAGTAATGCTGGCTGGAGCATCCCACCACGAGTACGTCCTCCGCCTCAGATTCCAGCAGGGCTGCTTACTTTTCTCTCAGGTCTTCGTCATCTAGCTCACTGATCGAGGAGAGCCTGGAGAAGAGGAGAGAGAAAGCTCGAAGGATATGATGTGTGGGTGGTGCGTCGTGCTGATAGTACTCAGTGCAATACCCATTTCACTGTTCAGACGCACCTCTTACATGATATTTGCGACAACGACCACTCGTATCCACTATTCTCAGCCCAAACTCGTGTTCACATCTATGCAAGACTACGACATACGTCAAGTTCGCGGCCTTTTCCGACCCTTCCTATTGGAATACTTACACTCCAATCTCCCCCATCGAGCATCTTGCGAACGCGTCGTTGACTTCCATGCCATCTTCTAATCGCTCTCTTACTGGATGTTGCATCCATCTCAAGGCGTGTGCAGAGACGTGCTCGTGATGTTCTTGTTGGTCAAATCCAGCAGAGGGCGGAGACGGTTCTTTTGGGACTGGCGTCTCGGGGAATTATGGGTGGACCTCAGTCCATCAGCGGACCCAGAATCAAACAAGAGAAGGACAATTCGTCGCTCGCGAGCAATACATTGGGGGGCTCAACGTCCGATCAGAAGATCACCCGCGGGTTGCGGTAGGGCGTATATAAACGCCTGGTGGGGACCTATCTGGAATCTGAAAGTTTGTCTCTCCGCATTGAATCCGCCCCGTTCTCCGCTGGTCGCCGCCCTGATTACCAACTCCACCTCCAGCATGTCTGAGGCTGCAGAGCATGTGCGTAACCCTCGCTTTGCTCGTTCAACACACGTTGATGCGGCACACAGCACCCAAGTGTGCCCAGTACACCTCCCGCATCGCCTCCGGGGACCGCCTCATGCCCCCTGCCGCCCAACCGGAACCACTCAGTGCCGCTCCCGCAACAACGCCCACCAACCAGCTCACAAAATGTCTCTGCCGGCCTCGGTCCCCCCGGCGTGGAAGGGACCGACCGCGTGACACTCCGCCCGTGCTGCTTCAACTGCTGGACGACTGAAAGCAGCACTTGGCGCCGCAGCAAGCTCTCCGTCGGCAAGATTGTCTGCACCGAGTGCGGTCTCTTTGAGCGCAAAGTTAAGCACTCCCGCCCCCGTCCCGTGCAGTTTCCCCCATGTGCCGCTGCCGCCGGAGCTGAGGCATGAAGAGAAGTGATTGTATTGAAATTTTACATGCATTTTGTCCAGCGTAGAGGTAGCTTGGAATCGTGTGGCTGTAAACAATAAATAACCAACGAAGAACGTGTCCATATGATGCATTAGACGCGTCAATACGCGTCCGAGGAGACATTTAACATGATTCTGTTGCATATGTGCCGGTGTACAATAGCTACATGCTTCAAGTGACTATGCACACATCACGCCACTTGGCAACATCGTAGTACAACCCAATCTCTAATCTCTCATCCTCTGGACTGATCTCAGCAAATAACACATCCTCCACAAGTTCAATCAGCTCAATGGCACGGGCAATATACGCATCCTCATCGCACGTCTCAACAAGCACACAAGCCTCAAAGGAAAACTGGACTGCACCGTCCAAGCTCACATCGGTGACCAGCTGGGCCGTGCGAGCAGGCACTGCGCAAGGAGCTCCGCTTTGAACTGGAAGTACGACACCACACTAAGCTTCCGAAGCATAGGCACCAATGCCATGTCGTCGCGCAACGTCGCAAACACAGTGTCGTTGAGCACCACGGGATTCTTTCCGCCGCAGAGCTCGACGTCCTCCACCCAGAGTTCACCGAGGCGTGGCACAGCATGCAAGGCGGCCAGCAGTGCGACGGGCGGAATGGCGATGTTGCACAGTTGAAGTGTCGTGAGGTTTTCGGCGTGGCTGGCGAGCTTTCGAAAGCCCTTAGCGTCCCACGGTGCTGCAGGCAGCCCCGCGTCGGCAATTGCAAATTTCAGTGTGCGCAGATTTGGCAGCACAAGCCGGCCGAAGAGCTTTCCTAGGAGAGTGGTCTTGGAATGGGAATACAGATGAAGGCGAGCGGGGTTATCGTTTACTACCACGAGCCTTGAGATATCAGAGTGGAGAGCACCGCCGATGTCCGGCCACCCATGAAATGTCTTTATTGCACCATACATTGTGATGGTACACGATGCGGGGCATTGTTCCAAGAAGGAGAGCGCATTGGAACTTGCAGTCGAGTCCGTAAAAGTGACCCTAATATCACGGAGCTGCTGCCACGGAAGCTGCGGCGGCCCTAAGTTGCTGCCGATATCGAAGATCACCCTGTTCAGGACCGGGGCACTCCGAAGGACATCCCATTGCGAAATAAAATGGTTGTCGTAGGCACTGAACTTTATTTCGACGCTTTCCAAGCGATGAAGCCGGCCCCGTGCTTCTTCCAGGGCCCCGAAGTCGCTGTGATTTCCTATCAGCACCAGGGATCGCCAGCGGGTAGAGTGCATGCATAGGACTTGTAGCGTGTGGCGCCGCTGTGGCGGCCATGCTGGGAACTTGAGATTCATCACAACATCGAGCGACAGCTCGTCTCCAGCACGAGCCACATTGCGGCGCACGAAGTCCGCCACGAGCAAATCATGTTGGGGTTTCAGTCCTATGATCTCGATATTCGCCCAGATGCGGGGGGTCCCGAAGATGAGCCTCTGCCAATACAAGCAGACAGTAGAGAGGAGCACCCAGCCCTGTTTCGCAGCCCGGAATAACACAAGCCTGTCCTCCGTGGCAAGTGGCGGTCCAGAACAGCGTGCTGCAACGCCCCGGTCGGTGTCGATGTCAAGGTGGGGTTGTGCATTTACTGGAATATCGCTGACGCAGTCTTTGAGGATGGGCAACAGCAGTTCAAGCGGAAGCTGACGGATGGGGGAAAAGATGCTGGCACAGGCCTGGGCATAGCGCCCGAGTTGGCATTGTTCGTCGCACAACCGCGTTAGGATTGACTGCACCTCCGCGATTGCCGCCTTGTACTTCAGCAAGTCTGGAGCAGCCTTGTCGGGAAAGCTTCTGATCTCGTCAAGTCCAGAAGATAGTGTGGAGCGGTTCCGGAGTAAGGCGAAGATGCGCTCGCATTCCACCGAGGTAGGAAGGAGCCTTGAGGAGAAGAAGTGGTCAGTGGGAGGTGGATAGAATTCGGAGGCCATGGCTGAAGACAAGAGAAGGCGAGTTTGCCGCATGTACTCCATGTGCCAGTGCAGGTGCACCAGCCACGTTGAGGGAAGATGTGGTTGCCACGAACTGATCCGATCACCCAATAGAGCCTGCCCCTCGAAGCTGGCCACATGTGGTGCCATAGCAGAAGCATTATCAAGAATCACCGCGAGGATGCCGCCAGCCTAGCCATCTAGTGCCCGGTTGGAAGGGTTAATAATGTGTTGATTCAAAAAATACAACGGATTTTAAGCATTCTGCGCGCGGAGTCAGTGATGAGTGCACGCGAAGAAATATAACACACTTCCTGTCCAGTAAACCCGTGTCAGTCTATGCCGCCCATGCCTCTATGGCGAACTCTCCCCGCTCTTGTACAACATTCCCGCTGACTTCATCACTGCCGTCCCGGCTGAGCGAATACGCGCACTCGACGTGGCGCACGTTGGGAAACGCCTCTTCGAAAACGGCAGCCCGAGCATCGGCCAGGGCTCCGTGATCTCGGCGAGGCCGCGCGGCTCATGGTCGACTCATCGCTCAGTCGGGGTCCGGGCTCGGAGTCGGAGTCAGTCCCACGACCACCACTCTATTCTTGCACGTGCGCGCTGTGGGATTGGCTTTGCGCGGCGGCTGCATGTAGTCGAGAGCAGGTCGGAAGCGCGCTGACGATGTCTGCAAACGACTTAGCTCATCAGCAGGTGCATTAACTGGAGAGAGACTGCGGGAGCGCACTGTTTCCCGTCTTCCAGCATCCTCCTTTCTTCCCGCTGCCCCAGCCGTGGGCAACCACCCTCTCTCTCCTTCCCTCCTTTACCAATGCCATCACCTATATGTGTACAGTGCCGCCAGCAGCACACCCCCAGCAACACACGAGTGTCGACAAAGTGGCGGAAGTCGAGAGAATAGAAGGGTGCAAGGCGCCGTGTGCCTAAACACGTAAACAGCGGTGGGTTGGCCTTTCCCGCCATGTCGGGGACGCCGGAAGCACAGCAAACAGCGCCGCCACCGAAGAAAGAAGGGTACCTAGGGCATTCGGGAAGTCGCGCGTGCTGAGGCAGTGCGCGAGAGGTCGTAGCTTTGTTAGCAGGCCAGGGCACGACAGATTCCATAGTGTTGGACGCGCTGGCATAAGTCGATGCTGGAGCGAAGGGGATGCTCTTGACCTGGTGGCGGATAGCTGGCGAGGCGGAGGAACGGCAGCTCGTCGAGCAAGCTAGACAGCAACATTAACGCACATAAGCGGTCATGCATATGCGGTATTCCACGTACCAGTCCGATCAGCGTCATTATCCCTGCATCGTATCCGGGAATGCCATCCTTCTATCCTTTGGCACCAGAGTGGAGCTGGTAAGAGCCTCTGTCAATCTTGTGACGAGCAGCCAGCGCGAATCCTCGTCAAAGCCGCCGAATGCGGTGCACACACAGCGCTCACTTGCTCGTCGTCGTGGAGCGGAAGAACCGGTGATACACATCCGTCACGGTGTCACGTCGAGCCGAAAGCCGATCAGCGCTCACACGCTCTCTCAACGCCTCCACGACGACGCGCAATGCAGCGCGCGCATCCAGCGCAGTACTGGACGGATGCTCAAGCAGGCTGGCATGGGTGTTTGGTGCGTATATAGCCTTGGTTTCATCTACAATGTGGGCTAATTCACGGGAAGATTGCGCCCACGCAAAAGCTGGTCGAGATAATGGGCACAGCGGGAGACTCGGCGGAAGAGACCATTGGGACAGTAAGGTGCGTAGTGGTCTCTTTCCGCTGGGTGAGGTTTACTTATCTGGACTGAATGACGAGATGAGCCAGACCTTTGCCTGGCGCGGTATTCATGCTATCCAGCACGACCCAACTTTCTATGCCGCGCGGCATAGCCAACATGTCTTGGCTTGGCGGAGAGATGGGCGCAGCTGGCTACGGAAGGGGGCACAGAGGGCTCTGTATGTGTCCGCTGCTGCGACACTGGCATTAACGACAGCGTCAAGGCAATCGAAGGGTGTTTGCGGCAAGCGGACCCCGCGGAAGCTGGCAGTCAAGCTATGTGAGTACTTTACAGCTCTTGGTCAACCCTGGCTTACGAGTTCCCAGGCATATGTACAACTCCACGTCACGAGAACTTAGAAGCCAGGAGCGGCCAAAGGCCACTGGAAGGGCTAGCAGGTGCACAGGATTATCGCCTTTCGATCTGAGTTCTAACTGACGTTCTGCATAGCGTAGTTCGAACCTACAGGCCTACTAGTGATGACCTAACACGGGCTAGCGGCGGGACTTTCACACCGCGGCACATCCGCAGAAGACGAATTTTCATTGATACTTATTCATCCATGGAGGTACCAAGGAGAACTGCGCCGCCTACTGAAATTTTGGAAATCATTCTGCTTACATAGCTATAGGCTAGTATTGGAATATATCAAGCAACTTCTTTGGCCACCTATCAGCACTATCGATGAACGCCCGCTGAATTTGCAGCAGCTCTGCTGCCATGCCCCCTTCTCGACGTGTGAGGCGCCGCGTCAAACGCGCTGCCATGTCGCCAAGGAATGACATGTTCATGCGCAGCGGGATGAGGATAGCCATGGTGCGTTCCGGGCCAATCGACACACTGATCACATATAGCAGAAGGCGCCCACGGCTCCGCTGCGCACGGTCACGCCACACATCCAGATCCGGGTTGTCCTGCAGTAGTTTGGCGTGCGACTCCGGGTCCCGCATGGACCACGTCCACACGTTCCCCTCGTAGGCTGGAAGTCCACGCGTGAAATCCACAACTGTGACATAGTCGTCAGGTTCGCCAGCATCCGGCCCAGTTGAGTAAAACCATTTGTTGGCCTCTCTGTTGCAGTGGAGTGTTGGCAACATCCGCTCGTAGAAGTATTGAAGAGCGATGCGGAAGATTCCCAGCTGCTTCTTGGAAAATGTCTGGTGTAGCACTTGGTCATATTAGTTTGGTAAGGTAGGACAGGGAGAAAACATACACACATGTATATTTAGCTCTTGATATTGCACAACCGTTTCGATGGCCGCCATCCCGCCAGTCGGTCTTTTGGCATTCCCGCGAGCAGTACAAGCGGGAGAGGCAGCCCGAACATCGGCGGAACTCAGATGCATCCTTGATTAGACCACAAACTGGATTATCACATGCACGATAATGGTCGTGGCCATAGAACTGGTTGACCTCTGCAGGCATTTCACACCTGAGGAAAATCTTGTGGTGGTCTCCAACAAGCCCCGTCATCTTCGTCCACATGGGCCCAAGGGTTGACGTTTTTATAAGCTGGAACAGCGGCTTTTGAGCAGTCTCAGCCTCCAGGACTTCTATGCTAATAGCAAGCGCAGGGAGCACACTCCGGTGGAGCAATGCAGCGGGAATCAGCAGTGAGAATATGTTGGAAAATGCAGCGAGAATGGCATCATCGGGTAGAAGGCGCACGCACGGAAGCACATGCCGTAGGAGGTCCTGCCTCAGCGCATAGCGAATCACACGTGGATGGGTGCGCATCATGATATCGACCACTTCCAGCATCAGGCGCACCGTCTCTGCCCACAGAGCATGATGGACGTCCGGGTGTGGTGGTTGGACCCCATACAAGATGGTCAGCATAGGGAGAAGATCGCCCGCCAGACGGCACGAGTATAGTTCGTCTGCGATCGTGTGACTTGCCAGGTTGATGAGTGCAGGTGGTGATTCCGGTTCCGATGTCATTGCTGAGAGAACATGCAGCATCTTGAATAGGCCCAGGGGATAAAATAGGGCTATCAATGTCGCGGGGTTGCCCAGCGGTAGTATAGACCGGACAACGCGGAGATGAGCCTTGAGAAATGTGAACAGACCCTTCAAACTCCCATCGATGCTGTTGATGATTTCCGATAGATGGCCACGGTCGGCATTCTGGGGCAGAAGCTGAACACAGGTGGTGATGGGTTCGAGAGCGGGATGCCCTTTGACATGTGCAAGCTCGGACATGAACAGCATCCATGCCTGCATAACAAGATGCAGCCATCGGGGTGTCGAAAGAAACTGCTCGTGCCTGGTTTCCCACGACTGGAAAGGCCCACTCTGGGGGTCACGAGAGTGTAATGAGTTCATGAAGCGTATGAAGCCATGAAGGAGCTCGGCACGAAGCTGGGTGGCGCTTATTTGTGTGCCAACATTGTCATTGATGGGGATGTCGAGAGAAGCATGGAAGGTGTTGAAGAAGTCGTACCAAGGAACAACGACTTGAACTAGGTCCATCATGATGCCGTTCGGGTCCTCTGTCTTGTTAAAGGATAATTGCACAAGTGCTCGCCAGACCCGACGCACACAGGCCATCGCAAGAGGGTATCCAGCTGCACCAGTCTCCAGCGCCACTGGCGAAGGAATTCGAGCGGGATCAAAGACATATAAGAGCACAGGAAGTAGTGTGGAGCGTACTGTAGGGTTTGCTTCCGTCCATACGCGGAGAAATCGATTGAAATCAGGGACGGAGCACGTCGGAGAGCAGGCGGCCAGAGCGATTTGCTACGGTTTTGAGCCAGTTGTAGCGGCTTGTTGAAGGATGATAACTTACTTTGCACCATAGCGGCACTTGTTCAAGGGTGGGCGTCTGTGGAATCTGACTCATGAGCGTCAAGAGCAAGAAGCGGAATGTCAATCACACATTACGTGGGCTACACGTGGACCTGTGTGACGAGGTGACTCCAAGTGGGGTACGAAACATACAGAATCGCAACTCCATCCAGCGACACGAATCCAAGCGGCATCACATTCGTTGCAGCATGGCACGTCTCTGGCCCGCTTGCTCATTGCGCAGGTCAGTATAGACTGGGCCGATTTCGGGCAGCGGGATGTTGAAGCGTTGGTCATGTTTTTCAAGCTAGCATCTCTTCGATTAGTATGCTCTGCTAACCATCCATTAGGACCAGTCCGTTTCAGTTGAGGTTACCTTGGCCCGCTATGCCGCTCACCCTGCGGCTCACAGCTCGTTGGCAACGCGCTTGAAAAGATCAAAGTCGAACATGGAGACTTGGAGGCGATTCTAGCATCAGCCATTGACCAGATCTTTACTCGCATGCACCGAGCGAAGCGGCGACGACTGACTTTGACAGCGACGATGAGCCGCTCCCATTAGGCACGAGAGGATTCGACAGCCCATTCCTCCTTCGACTGCAAGCAACGACGGCGCTGAGGAGCATCGACGCAATGCTCACCTTTCTCGAGATGTCCCGCGACACTGCTCACTCAGCGGACTCGGAGATTCGCAGGGTGTCCATCAAGTCCAATTGGCGCGAGTCCGCGTGTCGGCTTGAGTCTGCGAGCCGCACCGCGATGGGCACCAGCGTTCGCTCCGCGATGATGATGTAGGCATTACCTTGCGGTATTCTTTGGGCTGACGACAAGACACGGCAGGGATGGGAGCACTGGGCGGTGAGGGAAGCAGCGAATCCGATTGTCGCGACGGAGAAGCTCAGGGAGTGGAATGTGAGCCAACCAGCGGGAGGAATTGAAGTGGAGCCGTGGAATTCACATAGAATCACAGTGGTCTGTCTATTGGCCTGTTTTTGAGAATGCGAGCAGGAAAGGCGTCGAGCACGCACCTTTGTCCGCTACGCCACCCGGCAGAGCTCTTTATCCCCAGCGCAAACGACTCTACACTTTTCCAAGTTAGTTGCAGGGCAGCGCATCGCGTCGGGGCCGCCCATACAGAGCGCTCATGCGCTCCTTGTCGTGGAGCGGAAGAACGGGTGATACGCATCCGTCACGGTGTTACGCTGAGCCGAGAGCCGATCAGCACTCACACGCTTGCTCAGCGCCTCCACGACGACGCGCAGTGCAGCGCGCGCATCCAGCGCAGTACTCCACGGAGCCTCGAGCGCGTTGCCCTGGGTCTTTGGTAAGCCTATGGCCTTGTTTTAATCCAGAGGCCAAGCTGATTCGCTGGAAGATTGCGCCAAACTTGGATTTGGCTGGGGATGGAAGACAAGAGCGGGTGGCGATATCCACGGAGGCTAGCCAATACGTGAATGCAGGTGCGTGGCTCACTGTCCTTGCATTTTCTGAGCATTCACCCGCCGACCTGCAGCAAGTCGCCGTGATGATGAGAACGCGAAAAACGACAACTTGAACGACGAACAGCTGTGACTGCCAATGCCCTCTCTGAACCAATTGCTTGCGACACCTGTCCCCCAGCGCTAAATCCTATGCGCGTGGCTTGAAGCTCCTTTGCCTACTATCACTTGCAGACATGACGGCTGGAACATGCAGCGGTGAGGCCTCGACGCTAACTGCCAGTGTATAGCACCGCTGACTAACGCGAAAACCAGAGGCTTTGGTAGAACAAATGTGTCTTTCTCCTCTGTCGTTCTTTGGTCTGACGGGAGCCAGTACAGCAACTGACAAGCAACGATGTTGGCACCATCCCCCCTGCAATCTCCCTCCAAGAACGTTTCATCAGCAAAACTACATTTCACTGGGCTTGACGATCCGCTCTTCTGAACCGCTGATCTCGAGTGTCGAACTTGTGATGTCCATTTCCCATTGCAGCCGACTTGTTTCGCATCTAATGCCCGACATTATACGTGCGCGGACTCACGCTGGTGCTCCTGCAGGTGTTCACGGGCAGCGCTTAATGTCGTTCTGCGTTGACGAGTAAGATAATGACATATGGCCATGCGTTCGCTCGTTATTAGACAAATCAGGATCAATTATATTCATTCGAAAAGTGCAATTAAACCTTGGAGGAAGTCTCATAGAAGGGTGCATGAAACGAGAGATAAAGTGTGACCCATCACTGCCTCTACTTCTTGCAAGCGCTTGTGCCACGTGGCGTCACCAGCAACATCTCTCTCGTCGTCAGACTCCGAGTTGGACTTGTGCTTGCCGACCTCCGAGTCCGTACCAATCCGCCACGTCCCATCAATTTTGTCCGGGTTGAGCCATGTGCCCATGTGTGCCGCCCAACTCCAGTATTTACTGAGCCTGACGTAGATCAGAGTCGGGCAGCACTTTGCCCAGCGGCGGAGATGCGTGATCTCTGAAGTAGTGCCCTCCGAGTCCGCAAGTTGGTTCGTCTCCACAGCGTGACGGCCCGAGCTTGGCAGCTGCAGCGTCGACAAGCTGGTCAGTTGCGCAAGGAAGGGGTCGATCGACAGCAGGAAGGCCTGTGAAAGTTCAGCAATTTCAATTGGGGGCAGGGTAGTACTGTACCTCGTACGCCTCCACACCACCATCTCCATTGGTAAACACAGTGAGCATATTGATGCCTGGCGCATGGGCAGCAAGAGCGGCAAATGGCGCACTGGCCGCGTCCCACCCGTCCACGAAGAAGGCGCATGATGTGAGGTTGGCGGCGTTGATGACATGCAGAACATCTCTCACCATGCCATCTGGCACAGCGAAGCAGGGGATCACCAGATGCTCGATGGGCGAATGCAGTAGCCAGTTTTCAGCTAGTGCCGATGGCCCAGCAAAGCGCGTGAGACAGGGGAAGGTGAGCTGTGGTATCTTCGAGTTCTCTTCGGCGTTATACGCAAGCAGAATGTGTGTTCCAACAGTGTCGGAGATGGCGAGCGCCTGGAGCGTTGCCTGGTGACGTTCGAGGAATTGCAGAGTGAATTGCGGGGGAGTACGGAATGGTGCAAGATCGGAGACGAGGGAACATGATGGAGGAAACAACCATGACAATGGCAACTTGAATGTCTCCTTCAAGTTCGGCGCTGGTGACGGACAACATCTCCACCCACTCTGCTTTCTTCAACGCCTTCCAGGCGAGCAAACATGTCTCTGCAGTGCCAAAGGAGTCATTTTTTCCAAGCGCATTTGGATCCACAGATTTGATACTAGTACTGTTCGCTGATTAGTATTCTGGAAGTGGAATGGAAGATGGGCGAGTTACATGTCGAGTCGCCGCACAAGTCTTACGCATCGAGGCGCCTCAGCGAGTGTAGTCATGAGCGAAACAGTCCGCGCGGCGTCTGAGATGTCGATTTCGATGGTGTGGTACAAGGAACGGCGGCAGATAGTGGCGAGACGCTTGTTGGCAAGACACAGACAGGCGGTATCGTGTGGCGTGGAAGAATGCGCGATGAGTTCGACAAGTTCGTCGGGTATTTCGTCCATAGTGGTCAGGAGAAACAAGTGGCGAGCGAAGGCACGTTGACGTGATGCAGTGTCATGGGCGGAACGGCGAAAACGACACGTCGTGACTGCGAGTCAACAGTGAGACATCCGTTTTTCAAGCCTGCGAGCAGATCAGCCAGGTATATCAGGAAGAAGCCATTAGGCGCACCAAACACCAGTGTCAACCCGCCAAGACATTCGCCAAGTACCGCGCTGGATGCGCGAGGCGCGTTGGGGTCGTCGTGGATGCGGCAGAGGAGCGTGGGAGTGCTGATCGGCTGTCGGCGCGGCGTTACCCCGTGACAGATGCCTATCCCTCCTTCTTTTACTCCGTCACCACAGGCAATAAGCGACATATGCACGCTCGAGGAATTCAATCAGACACGACAAAGGTGCACTTACCCTCCACTTGCCATCAAGAGCTTTGCTGCTTTCTGCCGCAGCATTCATTTGCTTGTCGTCGGGTTGTCCATTCCCGCATGTCGCAAGCGCGGGGAGTGTGGATTCCAGCTCAGAGTCCGCGCTCGGTGCGGGGTGGCGGCTGGGGGCCTTTGCCGCACATAATGAGTGGCGAGAGTTGCGAGACGAGACGGGTGCGTCGTTATAGTTGCTCGATAATTCATACTTTGCTGACTCGCGACTGTGACTCGTCAGTAATCTTGATCTACTCTTCGATGGAGCCTTTGCCTGCGCTCCTGTTGGTCCCACAAATACAACACGACGTGTTTTCTTTGTGCGTACCGTATCTGGGCATGAACTCACGAGGGGACTGGAAGCAAGCGGAGCAGCTGTGAAGAAAGGATGCCGTGTGTCTAGGGTGGGTCATCGTTGTTCGGTCCCCGGTTTACCAGCTAAGGCGTGTCTTCAGCCCTGAAGTAGAGGAAGACTCGCGAGGTTTCGGCAGGCGCGTCTCATCGGCAACACACCCGTCCCCCCGCCATACACCGTCACCCTTTCTCGTTTGCAGGAGCCGCCGTGGCTTTGGCCAGTCCGTAATGCCTCAGGGCCAATGATCTTGGTAGGGGCTACTCGAGGGCTGTCAACCGGCGCGTTATCCCCTCTTGCGCTGAGGGCTGTTGGTGGCAGTCGCAACCGGGCGATTGGCAATCCCATGGAAGCTAAAACTCTGGACGGCGGACTAGGAGACATGGACAGTGCGTGATCGTCGCTTTCTTGTTCGTTTACAAAATGAGGCTCGTCTTCAGCTCAAACCAAACATTGCAATACATGGCATACCGTTCTAACAAAGGAAACGATGTGGAAGGGTGGAATGTCCCACTCATAGTTACTTACAAATACATGATTACTCATTTACTCCCCTATTCTTCTCAGTATTTAGCTGGCCTGTCAATCAGGAATACATTACACTTTCTTACCCCGAGCCCTCTCAGTGTCCGCGCCAGTGCTTTCGAGTGTCCCACCGAGGACAAGTGCCAGTGTTCACATTCCATTCCTACTTGACATTTCGACTACTTTCTACTCCACGCCTACCCTCTTCTCCACTTCCTCTCCATCTCACATATTCCCCACAGCTGGACGACCTACGACCGATACTCTGACGAACTCGGGGTCCCCGCTTGGACCCATTGGCACTTCTTCAGTGGAGCCCACCGCGAGGGAGGGTTCTTCTACCGAATCCTCTCTAGGTCTCAGTGCCGTCTCAGCCTTCTCCTGTGCCGCTCGTGTCGAGACTTCATCAGACGAGCTTGGATCATCGTCTTCGCGGCTCCCACAGCATTCCTGAGCACTCCAACATCCTTCCCACCATCGAATTCCCTCCACTATTGCCCTGCACGACGCTCTCGAGCCCCCAAGCACACTCTCCAGCTCCTATTAGCTCCATAGCGACTACCGCACAGCCGAGTATCACTCCTTTCTTTCCGTTTTGTCACGTCAATCGCTCTGATCGCCCGATAAAGCCGAGCTTCTCGCGCCAAGCCTTTCCCATGTCAACCGCCACTCGTGCCGATCTTCCTTCGAGCAAACCGCGTTCACACCGCTGCTTCGTTTGTGCCCGTAGCAATGCCCACGCACTTGGATTTCAACACTGTCCACGCACACACACACTTCTACGTCGAGGCCTTGTCTGTTTTAACTCCCGCGGACGCCTTGTTCTTCCAGATGGCTCTCCAATTCCGATGACGCGTCATGCTGGAGGTGTTGCCGGCCATCTAATTTCGCAATACAATCGCGCATCACGTCCATCCGAGCCATCGCTTCCTGTTGCTCCTCTGCCATCACGCGTCTCCATCGATTTCTTTCCAGTTCCCGAGTCACCACCACAGCACATCCAAAGTTCTCCCCATGCTGCTCCACCGTTGCACTCGCGCCATCGAACTCATGAACGTACATTCCCCATGTTCACCCTGTCTTTTCACTAAATTCTTCCAAACACTCATCGACGCACTCATTTCACGGCATTTCCGCGCGTTATTCATTGAGATTGCACAAAAATTGGATGAATTGGATTCCAGTGATGAGTTGGCGCTACGTTCACGGCTTCCTCTTTTACTCTCACGTCCAAATCCTCCGCCGTGCTTTCTCTACGCTCCGATACCGTCGTCAAGTTGTCCCTTTGATTGATTCTTTGTGTTTACCTTTCAAGTTGTGGTTTTTCCACCCAAATGCATGTGATCTCGAGGGCGAGATTCAAAGTTCTCCCCACTGTGGAAGGGTGGAATGTCCCACTCATAGTTACTTACAAATACATGATTACTCATTTACTCCCCTATTCTTCTCAGTATTTAGCTGGCCTGTCAATCAGGAATACATTACACTTTCTTACCCCGAGCCCTCTCAGTGTCCGCGCCAGTGCTTTGAGTGTCCCACCGAGGACAAGTGCCAGTGTTCACATTCCATTCCTACTTGACATTTCGACTACTTTCTACTCCACGCCTACCCTCTTCTCCACTTCCTCTCCATCTCACATATTCCCCACAGCTGGACGACCTACGACCGATACTCTGACGAACTCGGGGTCCCCGCTTGGACCCATTGGCACTTCTTCAACGAGAGCCCGGCAGTGGCACCCACATGAAACCACACCTCCTTGCGCTTGTGGTCGTGGCTCCGGTGGTAGCGCAAGGGTCTGGGGTCGGGCAGAACATCCTTTGCATCATCGTCTGACTCGTTCTTCTGGCGGAAAAGGCAGCAAGTCAGCTCCCAACGCGGCAAGCCTTGCTACGGCGCGAAAAGAGCGGCACGTCAGACACTTGTAGCAACTATCCAATGTCGCTACAGTGACCCGCCACGAAAAGCGCACCCATGACGTCAAGCGGCACGTCGATTGTCTCGTTGAACTCGACGACAGCTCACATTATCCAGCAAGACCCTTCCTCCGTCCCTCCTCTACAGCCTACACGCAACAACTAACTTCACATCCAACACCAGCAGCGCTCGCCGTCACCCATCACCTGCTCCCTCGCTGTTTCGGCTCGTTCACGTCGGGCAAGTCAGTGGCGCTGAATGCTGACAGCGGACTCGTCTCCGCTCGTTGGAAAACTTCGACAACACGCTCGACGGCGCTGTTGTTCGTCACGGCTGGCCGTCCTACGTCAATCATTGCTGGATCGGCATGTGTTCTCGACTGGGAGGTCCACAGTGGGCGGACGACACGTTTATGAGGTGGGGACAGGCCGGGGGAAAATTGTTGGATTGTTAGCCGCTGCGACTTGACAACCCGTCGTCGGGCGCGATGTCGGGATGTCCGAACAAGCGGAGACGCCTTTGCGGCGCAGCGTTCGGTGTCAATCTGTTCTACGGGGCCGCAGACGAGGTCGACAGCGAGGAAGACAGGTGGGCGATGCTCGTTGGCGCGAGGCCGGTGCTTGTCGTGGCGCGGTTATCGCGAGTGGATGCAGGCGAGGAGAGACGGAGGGAGGGTTGCACTGGAAGGCTGAGCTGTTGCTGAGGAGTGGAGGAGGAGAAAGTGTGGCTTTTATACGGTTGGACAGTGGGCGGGCCCACATTCCATGATGTTCCATCGAATTCGGATGTGAGTCTTATTGTTCTGTATTCACACGTACACACACAAGGCTGATGATCATCGACTATTCAGGACGCGTGGGTGATCACTCGTATGTGCATACGGCGTAAGCATGGGCAGTGATGTACGCATTAAGATGATTCAAATTGATCTCTGATGCTAAAGTCTGCATGAATACTCAGGTAACCAGCTGCGTGAAATCAGCCCTTTCCCAAAGGCCCAACCGACTCGGATCCCCCTCCTATGTCTCGAGAATTTGATTTCAGCTAGTCACTGCGATTGAAGAAGTTGACTCTTCGCGCCGAAGCGAGAGAAAAGCGTGCCATGGTATTGTCAGCGACTCATTCTCCCCCCCTTAATGTTCCCCTCCGCCTCTGGCTCCAGCTCCACAAATGCGCCCTCCGTCTACATCCGCCTACCACCAGCACCAGTGTTCTGTCCAAGAATCCACCATCCACATCGCAACAACGTCGACCATCACATTCTCCGCCAACAGAACCGTGAGTGAGACCGCTGGCTGTCACGGGATGCCTTCAACTAGTAAGGGCAAGGTACGTCAAGTATGACGGTTGTTATCATTGGAAACTCGGAGCTTGCCGAGGGTGCTTAGAGGTTGGAGCTTTGAGCTCGGATATGCATCTAGAGCTTGTAGCTCCGGGCTGGACAGCATTATTTTGGTCCTTGCTTGGTGCTTCCTCTGTACATAAGACTTTCCATATCTAGCCCAATATAGGACCAATATAACCAACACACATAAGTACTGATTAGGACACTTTCTTTGATTTACACCAGTTTTATGTTCTTCCAAAATTAAAAAAATACTTTGTAATGTCAAGAATATTAAGTAAATTCTGATTGAAGTTGATGTGTTTGGAAAATTCAAAACAAACAAGGACTAACCAATTAAGTTTATATAGTCTGCAAATAAATGAATAAAGGCAAGGCAAAAGTTGTGGAAATTGCACAAAAATAAACATGGCATTGATCAACTAGTTGTGTCCTATATAATCCTTAT